TCTTCATCTTCATCTTTATTTCATAATCCCTGTCTTGCCATCGGCTCATCACGGCCAGAATGATTCTTTGTATTACTTTTCTCTGATGTCCGTCACCAAGGGAAATTCAAGTCAATTTTTCCAATCCCCCACCTCAAAATTCAATGACCCATTCAATAGTACAATACTCACGAAAACTATGGCACAGGACACGGTATGTTCCACAAGACCTAGCTGACCAACCAAATTGCAAAAAGAAGGTCGAATCAACAACACAACGGCTAGTTAAACATAGATATGTCATAAAGTATGTCAGAATACTTTAAAGCTTACAAAAAAGTTGACATCTAGGCGTTATAAAGAATATAATAAATTAAGACTGGCATATGTTTCTTTAAAAGGAAAAAAACTCAAAAAGTTATGATAAAATGTGCTTCTTTCCTATTATAATCCCAAAAATGGGGATAGTAATGAGACTTCAGTGTGGAAACAAAATAAAAGAACAAAAGTAGTGAGTGGCGGAAGGCTGGCAACAAATAAGGAGACGTTTTGATCATCTAGTGTGATCAGTTGAGATAAGAATTAAGATAAGATACAAAGAAATGAGGTAAGTTGAGTGGAATGTGAAGAGAATATGAGGTAAGACGTAATGAGTTGAGATGAAATAAGGCGTGGTTGGAGTACAGCAAAATGGATGCTTAGTTGTGAATGTAATTATGAGAAGCCAGATATTTGCTCCCAAAAATTGAGACGCCGTTATTCAGAACATAACAGAAAATAACTTCCAGTTTCTATTCTTTGACGCGAGAACAAAACAATGTGATTAAAAAGATAACATATTAATTTAATAGAAAAGATATATAATCAATACGAGGAACACCTGCTTGCTTTGTTGCTGAAGACGACGCCATTCTAGCTCACCAGCGATTCGCTCATTTAATTCATCTACAGAGTTAACAGCTTCACTAAGCTCTTCCATAAGACGATGAACTCTTTCCACAGCGTTTTCTGCGCTATCACCAACACCACTGTCACTAGAACCAGGTCCACCTAAAAAAATAAACAAAAAAATGAAAACGAAAGGAAGGAAAAAAAAAGCTAGATGCTGATAACACAATAACCAAAGAAACAACTATAAGTCCAAATCGTAGATATGTTTGGAAGTCAATTAACCTTATCTTGGTAGGCCCAGAGGAAGAAACCTAGTCCAGAATCGATGGTATGCATGATAATTTCCAGTCTGACCATGGACGTGATACATTCTCAGACGGTTCGCAGGTATCGTATTCGGCATAGTCAGCGAGCCTTACCATTCTTAGCACTACACTAATTGTCTGCTAAAGAATTGTGGTATCTCTCCTTCTGATCTGGGCTATTTATTCACAAATATTATATCATGTCATAACGACTACATTATCACAATTTTATAATTGTTTATTTAATTGTGGTATAGTGTTTTTTTAAGCGGATTTCATGAGAACTTTTGAAATATCATGGTCGCTTTTGCACCCATTATCCCGAAATTCTCAGCCCATATGTCTTATCAAAGCCTCCTAACTTCCTGGTTCAGGTATTTTACTCAAAGCCTGCAACTCTATCTTTACTACTCGAAACGTTATCTCCTACTCTGTCTCGAGCTTTTGATGGTACGTATACTCCCGCCTCGCTAAGTAGGCTCCTAAAAGTCAGGATTCTCAAGCTGGATGGGATATTAACGCGAGGCTAAAGAACTCGAATAATTTTCATAGTCAAGTCTTTGCTTCATGGACAACGTCTATGATCAAATCTGTTTTTAAGCCAAATAGCTCTAGTCTCTGCCACTTGAACCTAAGCACAACAAGTATAACCACAACATTTGTAAGTTGTCACATAAAAGACCAGTGCATAGGAAGCCATAGACTTGGTATTATGGATAGAAATAGGATAGATGCGGCGGAAAATAGAGCATTCCAGGCAAGGATTCTAAAATGTAGGAAAAACAATCCTCTATGAGAAACGTGCTGAGAAATGAGTAGCTATAGCTGTGGTAGGTTTCAGCTAAACAGTAGACTTGCCAGTGTAAAAATAATACGAAATTATCACAATATAAGGTAACAATTTGATACGAAGCCGATTATAAAAATCGAGCAATGGAGACGAGTTAAGAAAATAAGATGTATGAAAAATACCTGCAGGGAAATTTACACCAACAGAATTGAACGCTCTAGCTAACTCGCTGCCTTTGTTAAGCACCTCTTCGGCGGTAGGAAGAGCAGCCAGACAAGCTGTGGAGACTTCTTCAAGAGCAGCAATGTCATGTGCATCGCGAGGATCTGCTAACCAGCCAAGTAGCCAGTGAGAATGCATTGAAGAGGGAGTGGGACCTGAGATGGGCGATCGATCTTTGTAGATATAAACAGAGTAAAATCAGAAAAGAGCAATAAATAAAACATAAAGGTAAAAACGAAAAAAAGACCTTTCAAGATTCATACTTGATAGGGGATAGAGGCGAAAATAATAATTAGTATGCAGAGTTAACCTAAAGAATGACATCCTAGCACCAAGCGGAGGCTTGATAAGGTTGTAATTAAAAGTGATCTTTTCTATAAATCAAACTTACAATTACACTCATAAAAGAAGAATGCGCTACAAAGAGCGAACATTTTATAAGAGTGGCTTACATTATATGTCAAGCGGAACAAAAATAGTCGAGTATGTTATGTTAATATGAAACCAGTGACAAAATTGTCGTCACTGTCAATAGATGCAATGAAATTTGTGATTTAGTCTAATCGAGCTGAGACTTAATAAAAGGTAAAAATGACAACCTCTAGAGGATAAGTAAAAAAACAATTGTCACTCATTTTGAAAAGAAATTATTTATTCCCACTCCAGGCGATATTTCTAAAGACCCTAGAACCAAGTACACCGCCGCTTCACTAAGCAGAGCGCCTAAGCTTTGATTGCCATGCGTGCACATATCAGGCCTTCCCTTACGGCTCACCTCTATGATTAAACCTATGTTATCTGAGCAAACTGTGGACGCCTATCTCTGGGCGCATGCTGCATCTCAAGTGGATTTCTAGTACATTTTGGTCATAACGCCGAATTTCTGAGATGGTTTGCTTATCCGTCTACCCTACTCCCTGACTGCCAAGCCCCCAAAGTTATACTGGTTTATTTGAAATGGCCATCACTCAATGACAACGTCTTTGCTTTATTGCCGAAAACCCCTTGCCTCAACTTTCTTCATCATGATCCCTTTTCCTCTGGTAAGCGATAGATCCTTTATCTAGGTGTCTGCTTTTTGCTGGTCTTGCTCCATTCATGTTTTCCCGAGTTTGCTTGGGCAGTAGGCAAAGTTACCGCCAGCACTACCTTCCTCCAATCTCCTGCTCATTGAATTTTTCTCCCCAATGATGTCAATGACCTCCCTCATCTTGCGCTTCCTTGTGTTTTCACCGTATGGAGCTCTTATTTTAGCTGCCTTTCCATTTGATCTTGTCACCAGTCTATGCGATGTGTTCCGTTAGTTCTGATCTTTCGTTATCCATTTTCCTGCAGAGCCTCTGATTTTCTTTAATTCGTGTAACCGTTTTCGGCAGAACGACAGAACTCATTGATGATGCCGAATACGATGCCGGCGCACCGTTTGAGAATGTGCCATGTCCACTGTCTGATGCTGGGAATCATGACAACTACTATGGCAGACGAATTCGAACAAAGTGCGTTCTATTAAGTCGCCCTGACAACAAGACCAAGTTACGACAACTAGGTCAACCCACCTCTATAAATCGAAAGTTGAGACTGCGACCATACCAGAGGCCAAAACATCTTGGTCCTCATATCACTATATTAAGGTCTAAAATAAAATCATCAAATGTATTGAAAAGTTATCTGTGCTATCTATATTCAAAACAGTGATAAGCAGGTATGTAAACGACAAGCCTGGAAGGACTAATGCTGCATAGGTGCAATATGAGCAAGGGATCAAGGAATATTCGCAACCTCAAGATACGCTACATTTCTTTTTGTATCATGCAATGCGTTCCTAACGATGAGAATTAAATTGTCAGTGATTT